GGGTCCCAGGTTCAATTCCGGTCAAGGGCATGTACCTTGTTGCGGGCACATCCCAGTAGGGAGTCTGCAGGAGGCAGCTGATCGATGTTCCTCTCTCATCGATGTTTCTAACTCTCTATCGCTCTCCCTTCCTCTCTGTAAACAAATCAATAAAATATATTTTAAAAAATAAAAATCATCATTCTGCCCTTTAAAAAAGAAAGAAAGAAAGAAAGAAGAAGGAAGGAAGGAAGGAAGGAAGGAAGGAAGGAAGGAAGGAAGGAAGGAAGGAAGGAAGTTAGGAAGGAAGGAAGGAAGGAAGGGGTCTCCTCAATAACAATAATAGCTATCATTTATTAAGTTCTCTTTACATAGATTGTATAATTTAGGGTCCCAGCAGAAAATATATGATATATTCATTTGAGATTTTTAATGAGACTTTTCAAAGACAAGACCATTTGCAAAGTAAGTTTAAGTGAACAACAAGAAAGGTTGGGGCACCTAAAAATTAACAACAAATGGGAAGTCATTGCTACTGCTATAGGCAAGGAGGAAAAACAGTGTCACCAGACTCGATATGAGAGCTCAAGCCACAAAAGAAGGGCATTTCAGTAAGAGATATAGTCATAGAGTTACATGGTTATCCAAACCTTTCCCACCTCCAAAGACTTCACACAGAAAAGTTCCAAAAATTATAAAGTTCACAGTCAAAACCTCAAAAGCACTGAAAACCAACAGAAACCTCAACCAGATATCAGTCCCATAAAAACCTCAAACAGTGCTTGCTCCCGCAGCAGATATACTAAAATTGGAACGATACAGAGAAGATTAGCATGGCCCCTGTGCAAGGGTAACACAACAATTTGTAAAGCAGTCTATATTTAAAAAAAAAAAAAGACCTCAAACATTTAAGTTATCACAAGGAGAATGCAAAGTAAGTATGTTTCTTATGCTTCATGAAATAGTCCTTAAAATATGAGCAAGAAACAATAAACCACTAAAAATGATAAATCAAGTTTGAAAATAAGCTAAATTGACAGAAAATATGATAAAGCATAAATAAAAAGATTAAGTGACATGGAAGATACCAAGAGGCCTAATATACATATAATCAGAATTCTAGAAGGATATTATAGAGAGAATGGAAAAAGTAATATTCAAAGAATATTCAGAGAATTTCCAAGAAATTTATATAATTACTGAAAAATGTGATTTCTAAGGAGAAATCCCAAAAATTCAAAGCAGGAGAGCGGAACAGAGAGAAATCAGCACTAGACCCATTGAAGTGAATCTACAGAATACAGACATCTAAGGGCAGGTTTTAACAGCAGCCAGAAAGATTATGGAGCAAGGTACTCCCATTAGGATGACAACTGATTTTGAACAGCTACAATGGAAGGCAGAAGACAATGGAATGAGTACCTCAAAGGATTAAGCAAGTGACTGTTAATCAAGAATTATAGTCACAGAAAAATTCTTCTTTAAGAAATAGGTGAAACAGACATTTTAAAACAAACTAAAACCAAGATATCTTCCACAAATACTTACTGAAGGAAATTCTATAGGATATAACTCAGGCAACAGAGAAATGATCCCATACATAAGGTGTGCGGTACAAGATGAAATAATCAGCAAAGATACTGACACACAACTGGGTAAATCTAACAAACCAATGACTCAGTAAAGCAAAAGTAATAATGTCTAATGTGTGGGGATTTTAAAGAGAGAGAGAAAACTAAAATGTCAACAGAAATAGCAAGTAGATTGCTAAAGAATACAAAGGTCTTAGTGTATAATTCACAAAGAGGATGAAGGTCGCATTAGAACTGCCTTCTGGGTTAAAATGCTAAAACATTTCCATCCTGATCAAGAAAGAGAAATTCTCCACTTTTTGAGACCACAAGTGACCTGACAATGTCAGCCAGTGTTGGTCACAGAGTCAAGTAATGGGCCTGCACATGTGTAGGCTGAGGCAACACAGGCTTTCCAGTCCAGGCCATGAGTGGCATCAGATGCACCCCAGATGACATTGGCTGTCATGGAACTAATGTCTATCAATTTAATGTGAAAGTTGGAAGAACCTGATTCAGTTCCCTATGTCAAATCATGATCCAGACAGGAACTTTAATTATGATAGAACTAGAGGCCCGGTGCATGATTTCATGCAGAGGTGGGGTCCCTCAGGATGGCCAGCGATCAGGGACAATCGGGGTTGTCTCCTGCCCTAATTGGGGCCCAGGACTGATAGGGCCAGCCAGGGGGAGGGGCTAGAGGAGGTTGGCTGTGGGAGCACACTGACCACGAGGGGGCAGCTCCTGCATTGAGCGTCTGCCCCATGATGGTCAGTGCCCATCATAATGACCAGTTGCTCACTCGTTCAGTCGTTTGGTCATTTAGGCTTTTATATATA